GGAAACACGTGACTTCATATTTGAACACAGTTATGTTGCATGAGCCAGAAGGTCGAGGCTCACTAACTGTGATTAATATTTACAGTAAGTTTTATATAGTTAAACACAATCGCTACATTTATGAAAACACAAGCGTAATCTCTCTATTAATAAAAATAGTACACAAACAGGTGAGATGTTAGAACACTTTTATTTTTATTTAAGTAGACACTAAAAACTTACAATAGACAGCTGCTGGGGTTTGGAAGAGAATTGAACAAATATTTCAAACATAATTGGATCATTTTTGGAGCAGTCAGGATCTCCATGCATTAGCATGCTGTTTTTGCTCCCAGTGAAAATGATTCCTCTTGAATTCAAACGTTTAAAGTGTTAGATTTAATTCAGAGTCAGCTGTTTAAATAAAAACAGAACATTTTACATCAGGGGATATGACTGGTGTAATTCAAAATACAATCACAGCTCTCTAAGTAACATTTCAGTGTTAAATAAAGCTGTCCAGTTATGAAGCTGAACTTTAATCTCAGCCAAACTGACTCAGGAACAAATGAAACACTAAATTAAACACATTAAAATTTAGAAGTTACCTAAGAGACTTAAATATCATGTTTAACCTGAGTAGCGGGCAGTTTAAAAATGATATGCTGGGATTTCACTCATCTCGCCAGCTGTAGAGATCCTTGACCTCCCGGTCAGCTATTGCTGGTGGGTAACGGATGTCTCAGAAAACATCAGAGTACTTTTGCAAATATGTGATGTCTTGATAAATCAAGCAGCTATTTGAAGTTCACATAGCTACATTCTTGCCTGAAAATATCTCTCAACAGCACAGCGTTACAAGAGACCATGACTACTGCTCAGTCCCTGAGCCGTCTGCATCAGCTGTGTCCAAAGACGTGGAGAGTCTGAGGAAGGAAATACAGGAGTTACGTGTCCAGCGAGAGTTTGGGTTATGGCGGTTTGCTGGCTCTGACACTGACATCCAATTCTATACCAGGTACATCGAAGTTAAATTTCAAGTGTTTCCAGTCTTCATGAAAACAATATAGATATTTACTTTTTATCTGCTGACTGTATGTTTCATGTGTGATGTTAATTAATGTTTGACACGATGTTTTTCTCTCTTGTGAATAGATTTCCAAGCTATAATCATTTAATGGCATTCTGGGTTTTGATTGAGCCTTGCATCTATAAAATGATCCAGGCTTCAAGAGCCAAGTCAGCTGCCAACATGGATGAAGAAGTGTTGACACCTGCACGCACACAAACGGTAGGCTATGGCTTTGTTGGTAGTTGGAACTAGAGGTGCGATGTCATTGTGTTTATGTAGATCCTAAAGGGCTCAGCATCCTTTGCATACTTACATCTGTGTACTACAGCACCTCATTGTTTTCCCCATCGTACTTTTGTGTTCATGACATGGGAGAAAAAAAGTAAAGATGAACGTTTGCGAGATCTGGCAAATGTTTTGGCAGCATCCTTCGGAGGGCTGCCAGCTCAAAGCCGACTAGGAAGTCGAGGCACGATGTGCCTGGAGTGCGGTGTTCCCCCCGGCTGTAGTGGGCCTCGACCTGCCGTTAGCTTTCAGTTGGTGGGTAACAGACATCTTCAAAAAACAAAAAAATTACCACTTTTGCAAATATGTGATGTCTTGATAAACTGAGCAGATATTTGAAGTTTACACAGCTACATTCACGTCTGAAAATATCTTAAAAGTTTATTTTGGGACCCAGAAAGAGTAATATTAAAACTAAGTAGCTGCTGCCATTGTTGGAAACGGATTGGGCTGGTATGAGTTCTCGGATAGGTTGGGTCACGAAGGATACGCCAACTTGGCCTTCAAATGCTACCTACTTTTGAGAGATCCCGAGTTACTTTTGCGAGATCTTGCAAAAGTTAATCTTAATTTTTTTTCCCATGTTCCTTGCGGGGCTCCATACTCCATGGTACTGTTGTGTGTGTTCAGAAGGAATTTCAGAAGAACGTTCTGTCATTTAAAAAGATTTAATTTGTTAGCAATTGGAATTACAAGTTAACACAGCGCTGTGGACCTCTGTGTGAGATCAAGCATCTGGTTCACAAAAAGGATAACCCTCAACAACTTTATATAGTGAGACAATAACAAAGATTGTCATGGCAATCGTGCTCTCACACGGAGATGGCAGTCCTGCTGTCTCCCTGCGAATCTTCCTGCGAGACGACCTCTGGTATCTGCTCTCTCCTCTGTAAGAGAGAAAAAAAAAACACCTCCCCGCCTAGTTTTGATTATTTCTTGATTATTTAATTCTGTCCACTGCTACTTGCAGACATATTATTTGGCCCTCTGAACCAGAGAATATCCCTGTAATCATGTTTCTGAATTTCTGCCACTTTCTGCTGTGATGCAGCAAATTTCCCACGTGTGGGACTAATAAGGGTCTGTCCTGTCTTATCCTACAAACATTTAGCCAAGAAAAGCATGATCTTACTAGTTCGTAGCTTAAGGAGTAACATTTTCCCTTTTGTTTTATCCTTTCAGAGGCAGCTGCTCCAGCCAGTCGACGAGTTCTTTCTTTTCCTGGTTTTCCTGTCTGTTGGTCTGAAGGAGAGGGACCTGGCTCATCGATTCAACATACACCAGTCCACAGTGAGCCGCATCATTGCAACATGGACAAGTTTCCTTGCCACTGCACTGGGGTCTCAGTGCATCTGGCTTACACGTGCAGAAGTGCAAGCTTACCTCCCTGAGGAATTCAAAGGTTTCTCAGACATCCAGGTGATCCTTGACTGTGCAGAGCTGAGGTGTCAGACACCATCCTCACCACTTCTCCAGAGTGAAACGTACTCTTCGTACAAATCCCGCTGCACGATGAAAGCCCTGGTTGGCATAGCTCCACATGGTCCAGTCACATTCATCTCTGATCTGTACGCAGGTTCGGTTAGTGACAAGGAACTATTCAAACAATCAGGCATTGCTGAGAAGTTGACTGAAGACATGGCGGTGATGGTGGATAAGGGCTTCCTCATCACAGATTGTTGTAAATGCAAAGTGTACCGCCCACCTTTTGTATCGAAGCAGAAGAAGAAGAAGAACCAGGTTAAGGAGACACAGGCCACAGTCAGACTCGGGCTACATGTGGAGCGAGTCATTAGGAGGATCAAACAGAACAAACTTTTTGATGGCATCATCACCATGTCACCTGTTTACAATATCAACCAACTGTTCGCAGTAGCATGTATGCTGTCAAATTACCAGAACACAGCATTAGTTAAAAAACAGGTTAAGTGAGACGAGATGGAGTCGTCCCAGGACACCAGTGCAAGTAACTTATGCTAGGCATGGAGCTTTAAATACTTACTATGTAAATAAGTGTTCAGTGTTTTAATGTTTTTGATACCGTTGCTAAAATAAAAAAAATAAAATGTTTTTTTTGTCTGTTAATTTCTGTTTTCTTACCCTCGTAGTTGTGTATCTGTGATGCAGCATATAACGTAAATCCTTTATCTAATTTTCTGGCAGTTGTTCAATTTTGGGAGCTCTTGTAGGCAGCGAGTGTAGAACGTCGCCATTGTTTAACCACTGCGGAAACAGTGGGGCAGGGCTGAGTATAACGCAGATGTGATTGTGCAAGTGGCTGCTGTTACAACCAAATTTCCCCTTGTGGGACAATTAAAGGATTATTCTAAGTAGGACTACACATTGGTGGGACCATTTTAGATGGTTCATGTTTTATAACTACAGTGATGCACATTGCTATAAGAATAGGTTTATGTCTCTAACACTATTTTAACCAAGTAGTTAGAGGATACTACATCCCATTCTTCATATGTCAGAGGTTTATTTTTAGACAGAGTTGGTTATGTCAGCAAATAAAAACAAAAAGTAGTCCCCATCCCCACGTTTGAACCCTAGATTATTAAATTTACAGGGTGTAAGTTAAGGCAACGCAAAACTCTACTGCAGGTTTGAGATGGACAGACTCCCACGCCTCACCCTCCCCTCCCCAGAGACATTGCTTCAGACATTGACCCCCAACACACCTTCCACCTCTCCCCCCTTCACCCCCACCCTCCCCATTCCAGACCAACGACCACCACCGCCCTCTCCAATCCAGACTCAACGACCTCCATCACACCTCTCAGCCTCCTTTCCTCCTCCCTGAAACTCAGAATACACACTGAGGATGTGAGCCGACTATTTAAGAAACAGAAGCCCAGGAAAGCCCCCATACCAGACGGTGTCTCACCCTCCTGCCTCAAAACCTGTGCTGAACAGCTGGCTCCCATCTTTACTCGCATCTTCAACAGATCCCTGGAGTTGTGTGAAGTTCCCTCCTGCTTCAAACGCTCCACCATCATCCCTGTTCCCAAGAAACCCACCATCACAGGACTGAATGACTACAGACCTGTTGCCTTGACGTCTGTGGTCATGAAATCCTTCGAACGACTGGTGTTAGCCCATCTGAAGGACATTACAGGCCACCAGTTGGAGCTTCTGCAGTTTGCCTACCGGGCAAACAGGTCGGTGGATGATGCAGTGAACATGGGGCTGCATTACGTCCTGCAACACCTCGACTGCCCGGGAACTTATGCCAGGGTCCTGTTTGTGGACTTTAGTTCGGCTTTTAACACCATCGTGCTTGAACTTCTCTCTTCCAAACTCTCCCAGCTCAGCGTGTCACCAGCTACCTGTCAGTGGATCACCAGCTTCCTGACAGGCAGAAAGCAGCAAGTGAGGCTGGGGGAAATCACCTCTGAAACTTGGTCCCTCAGTATTGGTGCCCCT